GGAGGGAGAGAGGAGGGAGAGAGAGGTGGAGGGAGAGAGGAGGAGAGAGAGGAGGAGAGAGGTAGAGGGAGAGAGGGATCAGTAGCTGGAGGAAGGGTCCTTTTAAATTTCCAAGCTGTTGTCCTCGTCCAGATGCAGACAAATACAAAACAAGAGGAACTTCACAACTAATAGTTCAGCCCTTGATTATCTAATCGATAATTCATATAATGTTACTGCATGTGTCTGTGGTTATGAAAAATAATAAATAATTAATAATTATCTTCACCATTAAAAGAACCAGTTAGTGATTTAAAAGATGTTGAAACACATTAATTAGATTCAGTCCAGATGTTAATTGGACGAGGAGCATCGTGGTGCCCTCCTTATTCAATGTTAAATCAAATATTGATTATTATTATTATGAGAAGATATTTCCTTCAAAACGTGATTTTAAATGATTTACCTTCAAATTTAATTACATGAATTCCTCCGTAACTTGCAGCTTTGAAGATGCTCCTCCAGAATAGAACCGCGTTTCAATGACTATGTTGTGAAACGTGAACGATTATTAACCCGTGAAGTGTCACTTCCTGCTCAGTGCCCCGTCTGACTGAGATCCACGCCAGTAAGCTGGAGGTCAGCCTGCTCGATCGCTTCTCGGTGAGCTTCGGTGTGGAGGGCGGCTCCATCAGCCTGGTGTGCACCATGGTGGTCGTCCCCGACCTCCCCAACCTACCCCCCCTCGCCCAGTGGTACAGAGACGGTAAAACATTCATTTGATGCCTTGCTCCAGGACACATCAGCACATTTTATTCTGATTTAATTCAACATAATCTTGATCTGTAGCCTAAAAGTTGTGTTTAACTGTATATCTTTTTCCTTCACTGTGTTTTACCGCCTTGCCTGCGAACAGATAAACTGCTGACACCAAGTAATCTGGCGGGGATGTCGGTGGGCGGAGGCGGGGCCCGCTTGACGCTGCCCCACCTGGCCAAGGACGACGAGGGCCTCTACACCCTCCGCATCTTCACAAAGGACGGCACCGCCGAGCACAGCGCCTACCTGTTCGTCTCAGGTAGGGTTCATTCCTCCGCCTCGTGTTGCATTTTAACATCTATACATTTATCTTCCCTTCCTACCGTCTGTCCTTATCTCCTCGCTCCCTTAGATGCCGCCCCCTCTGTGGCCGGGGCCCCCGGTGCACCAATGAGCGTGAAGGCATATGACGTCAACGCCGACTATGTCCTGGTCTCCTGGAAACCCCCCAACACCGTCAACGAGGCGGCAATCATCGGATACTTTGTGGATCGGTCAGTCGGCATTTCTATTTTTACTGCACATGAACATGAATACAGTCAAATGAAACCACATCCAATGATGCAATATACTATCATCATACTGATTGATCAGTTGAAGTGATTGACAGATGAATCAGATGAATTCACGGATGCTTTCCTCTCTCCGTAGGTGTGAAGCTGGCAGCGACACCTGGGTCCAGTGCAACGATGCCCCGGTGAAGGTTTGTAAATACCCGGTGCACGGCCTGAAAGAGGGCCGCTCCTACCACTTCCGGGTCAGAGCCGTGAACAAGGCCGGCATCAGCAGGGCGTCCCGCAAGTCGGACAAAGTGACCGCCCTCGACGCCGCCGAGAGCGAGAGGCTGCAAGGTACCGAGGAAGGTAAATAAAGGAGATACAAGCCGGCGCGTCGCCACTGTTTCCTAACCGCTCTGTCGTTTCCTGCAACAGTGATTCAAATCGAAGGGAAATACGACGTAGTGATCAAGGACGATGACCTGGAAGGTACGGTAGATTACAAAGGCTGATCTGGGATCACAGATTGGCTCTTAATCCTTTTTAAACCACTTCCCTGGACTCTCACACAAATACTAACGAGTGTCTCTTTCATCAGCGCCGTCACATTTACAGACATTCAGCACTTTAAAAGGGGAGTTGTGCAAAAACAATGCAGTTTAATTTGAGATAAATCCCATCAAGCTGATCACTGAGGCGTGTTGCAGTACGTCACATAAACAAAGATGAATCATCGTTTGTTGCTGAATGGAGATTATGAACTCTCTAATGAGATGACAAAAATGTGACAAACATTTTAGGATTCACTCTATCGGAAGAAATGTGTCACCTTTAAAACTCAGTACTCAAGAACTCGTATTGTATTTAGAGTATTTTAATTTATAAGTTACTTTATACTTCACTACCATTCCGAGGTAAATATTGTACTTTTTACTCCACTACATTTGTTTGATAACTTTAGTTACTTTGCAGATTAAATGTATTATGTTGACTCAACAGATTATGATGTATTTATATCTTATTATAGGTCAGGATGTGATAAACAACACAAGCTACCCAGCAGCTTATAATACAAAATATAAACAATAATACAATATGTATAATTCTGAAATGGGACATTCTTCATAATGAGTACTTTTACATTTTGTAAATGAAGTTTGTATTGATGCTAGTACTTTTGTACTCTTACTTGAGTACAGTTCTGACTGCAGGACTTCTACTTGTAACAGAGTACTTTTACTACTTTTACTGAAGTAACAAATCAGAGTACTTCATCCGCCACTGAAATTGATTGAGATTAAATCTTGACATCAAGATATCAGCAATTATTTTTATTTATTCCCCAGTTTTATTCATTTTTCATAGAATTGTGTGATTTCTCTCAGAACAGAAATATGAGCTTTTACATCGCCGAGTTATTTTCGGTCTGTTATAAATGTAGAGTTCTTTAATTACCTCTTTATTGTATCGTATGTCAGTAAAAACCTTTCTACACTCTGACACCAGACGAGCTTCTCTCACATGTCAAAATCAAACCGTGAAACTTATACAAAACCAAATGAAACACAAACACACACAACACTGATCTAAATCTGTCGACGCGTCCTTTTCCCCGTCTCCTCCCCTCCTAACTGTTGCCGTGCCGTCTTTGATTTAACTCAAACTCTTTCCTTTCACACTTTAATCAACTGAAGTGGTTTTGAAGTTGTTTTTCCCCAATTAAACCACTTAAAGCGTGTCGAGTTTCTCCTACTTCTCCTCTCTAAAGCGAACCATTAACACGAAAACTAAAAAAACGCGTTGGTGTCATTTGTGCACATGAGGCTCTTGTAGAAGTCCCACATTTTACTGTAATATCGCCAAACTTTAGAGTTCTAAATGGACTCTATTAAAGAAATCCAATATCTGTAGGAGTCTAAAGTACGTCCTCAGCAGAACATCACTTTGTGCTGGTTCTCCAGTGTGTCTCTATAAACCCATCTACTGTAGTAGAACACTGACTGTGGAGGAGAACCTCACTTCATAACATCCAAACTATCCCTTTAATCTCTTTATTTGAGTTAGAAAACGATGCTGTTGGTTGTTTATTTAACCTCATGAAATACATTCTTACAATAAACAACGTGAGACTTCTGCAACAGGTGACGCTTTATGTACTTTAGGCCTCAACACCGTTCAATCCCAATCCAGGCTACGTAACGATCCCGGGGGAGCCCACCGACGTGCACGCGTCCGAGATTTTAAAATCGTACGTGGTGCTGAGCTGGAAGCCTCCGAGCCCTCGCGGACGAACTCCGCTGTGCTACGTCATCGAGAAGGTGTGTGACGCTCCACCTTGTGGGCTTTCCATTTCCATCGATGCAGCACACCGTTAAGCTCTGTGCTGCTGTGAAGATAAAGAACACGTTAACCTCTGAAACTCAAGTTTAAAGTCAACACGTTTATGAAGATGAAAGCACTAAAAACCCGTCATGTGCCGCTTGTATTTTTGGGGCTCCGCTTGTTGATATGGCCGGTAACATGAATACGAAGGTCCGCTTATATATCTTATGTTAAGCCCAGTCAAGTTTTAGGAATCCTTGCTAAACCTGTCAGTATTATTGTTATTCTAAAACACACACACACACACACACACACACACACACTTCATATGAATGCTTTACTTGAGCCCCTGTAAGACCAAACGAATCCAAAATTGAGCCCCAACTATGCAAGGACACAAGCTCCCCCCCCCTGAAGCTCCTCTTTTTGTTTGTGCTACATTTTCCACCCCCCCCCCCCCCCCCCCTCCCTCGACTCTCCCACAGTGCTTAGCAGGCACTGGAGCTTGGCAGCGGATCAACACGGCAGTCAAACTGCACTCCCCCCGTTACCCGGTTTTTGATTTGCAAGACGGGCAAAAGTACCAGTTCCGAGTGTACTCGGTCAACCTGTACGGTTCCAGCGAGGCCTCGGCGCCCTCTGAGCCCGTCCAGAAGGTGGACGAGGACGGTAAGGCCTGCCATCAGTGCACAGACACTTTCATACAAACACCCAAATATGCACACATACAAACATTTTATCTGTTCTATTTATGTATTTTAATACTTCCAATAAGTCACATTAAGTAGAAACCTTTGAATTTCTTTTTAGTGCCGATGGCGCCTCAAATTGTTCCTGCATCTCTCTGTGGAACTGAAAGAGGGTCTTGAGTGAAGGCATATTCATGTTCCACCTCTTGTGTCAGTGCTTTGTTCTACTAAATGCATCTTATATTTTGTCTTGAGTTTCTATTAGGAGAAAAATAACCGACCTCTCGTAAACTTTTCTCTTATCGAAGAGAAAAACATTTAAAAGAAAACATTGAGAACCAACAAAACGAGAACAAAGCAGGTATTCAAACAGAAGTAAGAGGACGTTTGTTTGTATATCTGTTCCCGCAGGAGGCTCACGGAGAGGAAGAAATGGAGTGAAATGAAATTTTAGACAAAATAGGACTTTTTGACACAAAAAGAGAATTATATATTTTATATACCTTATGAGCGCTGTAATATCATCAGTGCTCGGACCTTGAGACGGGTCGATAGCGATTGCAAATGATCCGCAGTTCATGTTGCTTTCAGCGGCCGCAATCCATTCTGCTGAATTTGCCCCTCAGTGTCCCCTCATTCAGCCTCTAGTCTCTCTCAGAATTTAGTACTTTTTAAGATGGAAGTGCCTCTAAAACAGCGCTTTTGTATTTGTTTACGCACCACAACAGTTCCAGCAAACATCCTGAACTCCAAACACACAAACGTTTCTGCAAACAATGCATGAAATCATCTAATCGAGCTTTTGTTAAAAGGGGATCGCTGTATGTTCCAGGTACCGAGCTGCCGGTTGGTATGTACATTTTAATTACAACACTGTTTCACGCTGTTGTAACGTCACAAATGAGTTCACTCGTCCACTGTGTGTGTGGTCTAACCGTGAGTGATGAGCAGGAGACACAAGAACATGTATTCAGTACACAGGTCTTTGTATTGTGGCCTTAAAATATAGAACAAGACTTAAATATATCTAAGACATCCTTCTCCATGAAACACAACTCATCTGATGCTGATTTTCTTTTTTTAGCTTGCCTGCATGAATTGTTATTCACCAAATGCAGTATTTCTAAATAAAAACGCGTTTTTCCACGCAGTCTCACTCGCATCCCTCAAATGAAATCCTCTCTAACTTCACGCTTTTCTTTTGTCACAGGATCTTTAAAACGAACCACACATGTGTTGAACCCAGTGTCACAGACCCAAACTCACGCTTTGTCTGTGCTCGTGATGACGCCTCACGGTTCATTGAGGCAACCTTTTGCATGTTTTATAAGTGGCAGTCGTTGAGTAACCTGCAGTATGTGCAGGGGAACTTTAAGTTATTAGTTGTTCCTGTTCTGTGATGGTGCGTATGGATGGGAGCCGGTGCATTGCTTCCAGAAAGCATAGATGGTCAAGTGATCAGTTCCCGTGGTTGTCTGAATCATCCTGACGTGTTCATATATCTTCATGTAGATGTTCGTGGATCCTTTTACTTTAGATGTCCAATGTTCATGAATTAAAGGCAATGATAAACCTTTTGAATAATTATTGTGTCATCACTAGTATCTAATGATTATTTCTCTCCCCCCCCGCCCCCCGGTACAGGCGTCCCCTCTGCTCCCGGTCAGGTTGTTGCCACCAGAAACACCAAGTCGTCTGTGTTTGTGCAGTGGCAGCCTCCCAAAACTCTGAAGAACCTCATGGGGTACTACATCGACGGCCGCATTGTCGGAACCAAGGACTGGTTCCCCTGTAACCACAAGCCCTTCAAACACTCCAGGTGATTCAATTCTATAGAGCTTCATTTGTAAAGTCCAATATCACAAATCACAACCTCCGTCTCCCGGGATGAACAGAAGTGCAATAGATGTACAGAATGAACAACATAGTAGAATTACAACACAGTCAATGCATATGACTCACTTTTAAATATAAATATATATATATATGTAATGTATTAAAATACAATGTTTACATAGAGATATAGTTTGCAGACACATGAGTAATGTTTTGGCAACACTACGAGGCACTAAAGAGTATCATGACAGTGAAGGAAACTAGAATGTGTGTGTGTGTGTGTGTCTCAGGTTTGTGGTCCACGGTCTGATCCCAGGAGAGAGCTACACGTTCCGCGTCCAAGCCGCCAACGTCTTCGGCCTCAGCGACGAGTCTCAGGAGTCCTCCCCCATCGCCGTGGAGCCAGCGCTCGGTAAGAGCGGCCTGACGTTTATCATAAACTCTGTTTGTATGCAGAAGCCTTTGACTTAAAAAAAAGTGCTTTAAAATGTTGAGGACATGTTGGGTGTAAAATAAAAACTGCTTCGGTGAAGATGCAGCTGAAAACGAGAGGCGATGAGTTCACCGCAGTGTCAGAAACATGATGATATCTTCATCTCATTATTCTATGCAGGCAAAGGGGTGGAATATGGTACGTACCAAATAGATGATTTCCTCCCCCCTGACTCACCCACTTTGTCCACTTTCACTTTGCATTATGTGCTTTAATCACTGAACTGCATATGTTCAATGTCACAGAAGTAACTAAAAGCATTCATAAATCATTTTATAACGTTTTCTATTTTGTTGCACAGATTTAATATCGTTTTAGTTTTTTCATATTGTTTTTCTTTTTAGCAAACAATGACCACTCAGAGTAACTTATGATCACATAATAACAATGATTATAATCTATCACAACTATGGGAATTATTAAAAACAACAATAAAACATCTGAGAGACAAGCAATTAAGTATAAAGGATTTTGACACTTGTAAGTCATTATAAAATGGTTCATAACATGTTATGATTATTGTGTTTATTGAGTACAGAGTGCTATAAGCAGATTATAAGTATGTTTATAATACATCACGGACACTTTTACTCTCACGGTGAAGTGAAATAATGAAACACAGATGTTTTTTCTCATCTGTATCTCTGTATAAAGTATCTCATATTAAACATGAAACATTATATGTGACTCAGCGACCCCCAGCGCTCCCTTCGGCATCACCATGGTGAGCTGCGACGGCTCCTCCATGACTTTGGCCTGGAGGCGTCCCAAACACTGCGGCGGCTCCAAGATCAACGCTTACTACATCGACAAGAGAAACGCCGACACTCTGACGTGGAAGGAGGTGAACCTGTCGGCCGTCACGGAGAGGATCTGCACCGTGAGTGGCTTCAGTCTGACACTAAATTATAGAATTAAGTTTAAATAAATGAATATGAACTAATATTTTCTTTCTTCCTTCCTTCTTTCCTCCCTTCCTTCCTTCCTTCCTTCCTTCCTTCCTTCCTTCCTTCAGGTTGACAATCTGACGGAGGGAATCTTCTACGAGTTCAAGATCCAGGCCGCTAACATGGCCGGTGTCGGCGTGCCCTCGGCTCCCAGCGCCCCGATCAAGTGTGAAGCTTGGACCATGGAAGAGCCAGGTGGGAGAACCATCACTGCCGCTGAAACAATATATAACGCTGACGTACTGTTCCTGTAATTACCTGGATCCTATGTTTTTAAAGTGTTAGTAAGAAAGAAAGGAAAATACACCAGAGCAACTCTCCAACAAGTAGGACATTGAGTGGGTTTTTTGCAGCGACAGAACTCCAAGGCAGACGTCTTTCCTCTTCGGTTCTGCTCACGTGTTTGTTAAGTTGTGTCTATCCTCCAGGCCCAGCCTACGACCTGAGCTTCAGCGAGGTCAGAGGTCAGTCCCTGGTCCTCCTGTGGAAGGCTCCGGTCTACACCGGAGCCGCTGCAGTCTCTGGCTATTTGGTGGACATGGCCAAGAAGGACTCGTCAGAGTTTGTCACTCTGACTCAGGAGGCTGTGAGCCAACGTTACCTGAAGGTAGGAGACCGACGGTCCGACTGGAGACAATGCTGCAACTTACAGTTACTGTGAGGAACCTGAATTTAATATCGATAACCTCTTCACGACAAACAGAAGTTAATAAGTTTCATAATGAGACTTTTTTGCGACTTTGCAACAGAAAACAGAACACTGAAAATAGTGAGACCTTTTATAAAGCCGATACGTCTACAGCTGGCTTCTCCTCTGATAGCCCTCGTTTCACCGGGCTTGTTTTGCTTTTGCAGCAAATAAAAAAACCACCAAACGGACATGTTGAGAGAAGGTTTGAATGCATTGAAAACTTCCATGTAAAGCCCGTAAAGGTGTTTCAATGGTTTGCTGCAGGTGACTAGTCTGGAGGAAGGAGAAACCTACGTGTTCAGAGTTCGCTCCGTCAGTGCAAAAGGTGTCGGGAAACCTTCCCGGCTGTCTGAGCCCGTCTGTGCCAAAACTCTTCCAGGTAACAGCAGCTGAACACTGCTCACGTCTACCTATTTATTCTGTGTCGCACCTTTTATACCAACAACATACCTGTTAACACGTCAGGGAATGTGTTGTATTTGTACTTTACGTCACTACAACTCACCAAACACATACAGCTTTCTTACAGATATCAACATAACTGCCACTTCATAACAAAGATGTAGTTAAATTACTCATAAAAATTCGCTATGATTCATATTATAAACACGAAGGTAGGTGAGCATTTTGCCGTCCTGATTCATGGTCATTACACAGAATCTGTTTTCATCTGTAACCTTAATTAAAAAACAAAAGGGAAGGTTCAGAACTGAATCTTATTATAATATGGTAATTATCAATTCTGACGTCTTAGAATGTTCATGTAGTATCCTTTAATATTGTCACCTATATTACCTCATTATTGTCAGGTTATTAACCCATTAATGTCACCATGTTACCATTTTAAATCATTTTATTGTTAGCAGGTTACTATACTGTTACCAAAATATTATTTAGTTTTGTTGCTGTCTTTAAATGTGGGTCCGCATTATTACTCTTTAGGCCCTTTTTACATAAATCTCAGTCTGATGTTCTCCAGATATACTTAGTGTTATTACAAAGCTATTACCTGGTTATTACTTCATTATTACCTCTTCATTATCAAGCTATTACCAAGTTATTGCTTCATTATTACCTCTTCATTATCAAGCTATTACCTAGTTATTACTTCATTATTACCTCTTTACTATCGAGCTATTACCACGTTATTACCAAGCTTTAATGTAAAGTGCTACCCAAACAGCAAATCATTGACCTAAAAATGCAGAAACCACAGTTTTAGTGTTGGACTGACATCCCTCCTAAACAATGTGTCAATATATTAACAAAGCATTTTATCTGAAAGCAGTAAGTCAAGAAGTGTTAACTACTACTTTATTACACACCTTGTAAAGTAAACTCCTATTTGATACCCTGGTTGTGTTACATCAGTTTTTGGACTTACTGGACTGAATCTTAAATGTGTTCAGGAAATATTTTCCTAGAAAACTTTGTTTGCACAGTACTTGTACTAGTATACTTGATTTGTACATGCAGTATTTATAAAGGAATAATATGAAAATCCTGTATCTTCACTCAGCTAACTGAGGTGCAAAGAAATACCCCAAATCCCCTCACAATACGTTCCAGCTGGATGTGGACCAGAGTGTTATACTTAAGACATATAAACGCTTCATGTTCACAGGCACTCAGGAGATTGTGGCCGGCGTGGACGAGGTGACCGGAGACGTCTTCCTGTCTCTGGAGGCCTGTGAGGTCTCTGAGACGTCCAACTTCGTGTGGTCGAAGAACTACAAAGCCATCGGCGACTGCCCCAGGGTCGCCGCCACCGTCAAGGGCAGAACGTAAGCTCGTCGTTATCCTCGACCCGTCGCGGGAGGAGCTCCGGTGTTTTATGTCTTTGTTCACAGTAAAGAATTAAGTTTACTGCACAGAGAGACTCATGAACACAGCAAACAGTCTGGTCTCCGTCTGGTTTGCTCTCGGTCAGCGTCTCCTCACCAAACAGGATCCTGTTTCCTGTTGTTCACAAACAAACAGAAGATAATTCAATGATTCTCAGGATGCATTATTTGCTCTTATGTGATGTTCAACATCTGATTATTTTTCTTTTTTTTAGTTTCAGCCACAATAGTACAAGCTGACATTGTGAAAAAAAAACTCATTAATTAGAGCTTATTTATTTACCAGAGCAATTTGCAAAAAGTGTATTTCATGATTATTTTACAATGAGTTCCTCATAATTTCTAAAACATTTCCTTTAGAGAACTTTGTAATTTGTCACTATAGAAAAAAAGAGACAAAGTTCTAAACGTTATTCTCTATATATATTGACCTGTGTATCCACCAGTGGTGGAAAGTACTCAACTGGTAAATTAATACGTGTTGTTATAGATATATAAACTATTATACTGTAGTATTTTGAATGCAGGACTTTCACTTGTAACAGAGTATTTCTACACTGTGTGGCAGTCTCACTGAAAGACTCTAGGCTACGTTAGCTTAGCATTTAACAGGAATGAATTAACTAGACGTGTACAAACTGAACCCGTGTCTCTATTTTACATATAATTACTTTTTCAAACCTCTCGGAAAATTATCAGAATATTCAGAAGAAAGTACGGATCCGTAAAATAAAGCCCAGAAAAATATGACAAAACTGAATGAAATAATTTTTCTCAAACAAAACAACTTTCGATACCATAAACATGTTGTGATTCTGCATTACACTGAACTGCTGTAAGAAAACGCTGCAAACTCTGTGTTGAAATTAGGATTTTTTTAGGTTTTTTCTTCTTGTAGAGTTGATGCTTTAATGTTTTGACCTTATTAGATAATTATAGTCGCTGTGTTTGTCTCTCAGCTCCAGACTGACGTTCACTAACCCGGACAAAGACGACCTGGGCAGATACTCTGTGGCCGTCACCGACACAGACGGAGTCTCTGCCAGCCACACGCTGACTGAGGACGGTACGTCTTTTCAGTCCGTCTAGTTAGGCTTTTGTTGTTGTTGTTGTTGTTTGTTTGCGGCTCATGTTTGTTGTCTTGAATCCATTCTGCAGCCCTGAACACGATGCTGGAGCTCAGCTATGCCATCAGACATCCCGGTGAGTATTGTGCACCAGCGGCACACATCCTGTATCAATTAATATCAACACTGCTTCCTAAGGATCCTAATCTCTGTGTGTCGTTTGTTTCTGAGCAGTTGTTCCTCTGAAGCACGGCCTGAACTACGAGATCTTGGAGAAGGGTCACGTCCGCTTCTGGGTGCAGGCCGTCAAACTGTCCCCCTCTGTATCCTACAGGTTCATCGTTAACGACAAGGAGGTCAAAACTGGGGAGGTAACATTCATACTGACTACGTTTCAAAGTTAGTGTAATTGCAGCTGTTTATTATGTGCATTAAAAATATATGTTGTAAGTCTCAGACTTGAGGCTGTAACAGCGATTGACTTCATGAATATCAGATGTAAAGATGATAGATGAAGGAGATTCTTGGTGTACAGTAGATGTAATTATCGTCCTTGTTTTCCTCTCAGGGCATCAAGATCAGCCACGACGTGGCCTCAGGAGTCATCCAGATGACGGTGGATCTTTTCACCAGAGCCAACGAGGGAACTTACACGGTCCAGATCCACGACGGCAAGGCCAAGACCCAGAGCTCCCTGGTGCTGGTGGGAGACGGTGAGGCTTCCTCCGCCCGCGCATCACTCACATTAACTGAGTCACGTTAGCACAATCTCATTTATGAGATAAACATCACATTACAATGTGAGTTCATGTATGATTCATATGGAATTATTCACTTTTTTGAGATTTATTTGTGTCAAAATGGATTTAAATGTAAATATGAATTACATATATATATATATACATTCTAGCACACTGACGTTTTCCTAAACTAAATAATGTGTTGTTAACTGTTTACTTTACAGATGATTGTCAGCCTACAGTATACGACTATATGAGCTATTGTAGTGACAGAGAAATAAATAAACAATGAAAATGCTGCTGCAGAGGTTTGTCATAGAAAAATCTTTGGTCGGAGATAAAATACTTGAACATTCTGGGAATGAAAACAGTCAAATTGAAAGATATTTAATATTGGCTCATATTATACCAGCTGTTTTTGTTGTATGTTTACATTAAATTAAATCCGTGGTGGAAAGTAACTTATTCCATTTGCACAAGTACTACTTAAGTATAACTTTCATAAAAGTATAGTATTTTCATTCTACGCTGCTTTGTACTCCTAGTCCACTACATTTATCTGACGGCCTTATTTACTGGTTTACACACAAAATAGATGCTTCGTTTATAAAATATGAGTAATTACAGAATAATTGTTGTGGATTAAACTACCCAACAGTACTAAAGGTAGCTCAGATTATCTAAAGTACAAGGTCTGAGTACTTCGTCCACCACTGAACATTCTCCGTATGTATTGATCGTGACTCGTGTTTTGTGTTTTCCTGTTTCAGCGTTCAAAGTTGCTCTGAAGGAGGCCGACTTCCAGAGGAAAGAGCACATCAGGAAGCAAGGTAGCGACCCGTCACCACGTCTACCGTTATGCCCCAAACGTCCCCAAACACAGACAGAAGCTCTTCGGAGCACAAACTGCTCGTCAGCGTTAATTGTGTTTCTGAGACATTCGTCATCTCCTCCGAACACATCGCAGTGTTTGTCAGTCTTAGTCTGGTGTGTAATCACGCTACAGGCAAACAGACAAGGGGTTCATCTCTGGGTTGGATGCAGGAATTTTTAAGGATGTGCAAAATACATTTTGTTCTGGTCTCATCACTTTTGTGTATTTTGATGCATATTTAAAAAGTAAATATTAATATGATTTAAAAGAGCACATTTAGGAGGAGTGTACATAGTGTTTTTATTTAATTTATTGCTGCTCTTTATGTCTTAAAATCCTAATTTAAATGATCCCACTTCTTCATTTTAGGTCCACATTTCTCTGAGTATCTGTACTTCACTGTCACTGAGGATTGCACTGTTATGCTCGCCTGCAAGGTAAACATTAAATCACTATCTCTAAACAATCTTTCCTATCGCTTCTTTTTCTCTCACTGAAACTAATCCTTGTGTGTGTGTGTGTGTGTGTGTGTGTGTGTGTGTGTTTGTGTGTTTGTTAGGTGGCCAATGTGAAGAAGGACACGTCCTTCCACTGGTTCAAAGAGGATGATGAGATTGTTCCAGAAACTCCTCCCAATGTCGTGTCCGGAGCCTGTGCTCTTCCCATCCATCTGGTAACTACTGCAGCATCCACACCAAAGTACATTCATTCTCACTATATATATCTATATATAGATATAGATATATATAGATATACGTATGTATACACCGTTTCCTGGGGTTGTAAAAATGTTTTGGCTAAAGCTTTAATGCACATTTGTTCACCTGAAATAGTTTGAAATATAAACAATATATACAATAGATGAACCGACAGCCCATGAAATACAACATGTCAAATATCTGATTACACAATCAGCTGTCTTAATGATTACGTGTATTTTCACCGTTACTGCTTCATTGTAATTAGATAACCACACTGTAATGTATTTTATTCATCAAGCTTTATATTTATATTTAGTTTTTATAATAAACAGATATTTCTGTTTTATGTTACTGCTGCTTGTTGAAACTATAATATTGTGTTTCCTCAGTTTTCTAGGAAGGATCAGGGCGTCTTCAAGGCCGTGCTCAGTGACGACAGAGGAAAGGACACGTCTCTGTTTGACATTTCAGGCAAAGGTAATAATAATATTAATATTAATAATCTTGATTTGATTGACACCTTTCATACAATGCAGTTTAAAGTGCTTTACATTTAACAAATAATTTAAATAAAGATGAAGTGCTTTGTGTTGCAGAGAAAGCAAACTATTTAAAAGATCAACCAAAAAAGAAACCCACTCCTCTACTATTTTTATTTATTTATTTTTCTTTTCCTATCATATCTTTTAATCGTCTGTTTTTATTATTTCTCGTCTAACTTTTCCTTTTTTTCTTTATTGTGGTCTATAGTTTTAACTTTATTCATCCATAAATTAGAATATCTCGTCTGCTCGTTAGCTGTCAGCCGGTGGACGTGTTGTAAAACGTGACTGTTTTATTGGTTATTGACGATCAATATAAAGAGAACGGTCATTTAAAAACAGCGTGTGGGACTAAATGTGAAGCATGTGAGCAGCGGTGCGAGAAAGAGGCTCAGTTAAAGAGCAATGTCATTAAGTGCTGTTTTAATATATTATAATATCACGTATTTTGTCTCCGTCTTTGATTTTCAGTGTTTGACGACATCATCAACGCCCTCGCCCACAATGCTGGTGAGTGTGATGAGCGGATAAAAACATCGTCTCGATCTTTGTTCCCTTGTGTTTTTCACTGCATGACAGCATGTGATCAATGTGTTCGACTGGTAAAACACACAACAACATGCAAACGTGACAATATTTAACCGAGCAGCCATTCCCCAGCAGGAACTGCTGAATGTAAATACAGTGTCTACTTTAAAGTAGTCTAACAGCTGCAAGTGCAGCCTTTGTAAATTCGGGCTGATTGTTTTCCAGGTGCGTCTGCCTCTGAGCTGGTGCTGCAGTGTACACCAGAGGGCATCAGGCTGCAGTGCTACATGAACTACTACACGGAGGAGATGAAGACCGTCTGGAAACACAAGTACAGTTTAATTCAATATATATGACTCCACCTGGTACATCACCAGTGTACCGGATTGGAGCTGTGTAACAATGTTCTGCCAGCTGTCGAGCTCTGTTTTATGCCAAATATCAGTATCTAGACTTCCTAGTGCAGTGATATTTTTCAACCAGTCTGGTACAAAAACACAGAATATCTCTGTGAATAAAACTAGCTTTCATGTACAAAAACACATTACTACAAATATACATCAAGCAAGTCTGTTGCACTGCAGACGTTTCAGTGTTTGCTCTCGCGTCATGAGTGTTGAGCAGTGACTCCTGTGACTCCTGCAGGGAGAGTAAGATCGCCTCCTCCGAGAAGATGAGGATCGGGGGCACAGCGGAGATGGCCTGGATGCAGATCTGTGATCCGTCCGACAAGGAGAAGGGTAGCTACTCCATCGAGATCTCAGACGGCGTGCAGACGCACACCAGAGCCTTCGACCTCTCCGGACAAGGTAGAGAAATATCTGTAACATGTAACATTGAAGGGTATTTTTGCTTTTTTATTTTATTTTTACTCCGTAACCATTAGTTTTAATTTCTATATTTATTTTGTAAATAAGTAAATGATTTATTTATTTTATTTATTTTATTTATATAAAACTGTAAAACCTTTGGTGGCTTTGAAAAGTAATTTTATATATTTTTTGCAGCGTACACCGATGCCTATGAGGAGTACCTGAGACTTAAGTGAGTTATTTGAGAAAACGGTAGTTTGTGAACATGCATCTTTAAATTGTGTCCAAATCATTTCAATCACATTTATGTTCTTTTGTCTTTTAGGGCAGCCGCATTTGCTGAGAAGAGTGAGTATATCATTATGTAATAAGCCGACACTGTTAGTGAGAGATTATTTATTCCATCAGCTTTTCATTTAAGGGACGTATTTGGGATTTTTTTTTCTGATCTTCATGGATCACGTCATGATGTTTTTAAAGACGAGTTATTTGCTTTTAAAGCAGAATGAATGTTAAAGTTCAAAGAGTTTTTACATTTGCTCCTCTTTCTCCCGCTGAGCATCTCCACCTTGTTTGCACTGAGACAGGTGGAGTCTAACATGACTTCACAAAGCAAACAGATATTCTCCACTAAAGTAGAGTTTTACTTCTTTGTCAGTAAGTAACATGCGTGTTGTTGTCTCTCCTCAGACCGTGGCAGAGTGCTCGGTGGTCTGCCTGACGTGGTCACTATCATGGAAGACAAGGTGAGGATGTTAAACACGTTGATACAGTGTTAATAATATGTAACATGACATCGTCATACATTATATTTTCGGGGTTTTGTTTACGTCGTTACAAGCAGTTGGTGGCATTACTGTATGAAGCAGCGCAGGAACAAACTAAATGTAGAAAAGAGCTCTGTGGGTCGTCACCGGCTCTTGTTCTGGTGTCCAGCCATGCAGCTACTTTAGCTTTCATGTGATGGAGTCACCCCAGTACAATGGAGGTGAATGGGATTTTGTTTAATAATTGGGGTGCAGTTCCCCTATGTTGGGAACCAGAGTTCTAGCTTCTAGTGTTTTTTTTATTGTTTAGTTTAACTGGCCCTTTAATTGACCCTTCGCTAAGTCCCACCCCTCGAAAGCAGACTGGCCAATCAGAGCATTGTCCGGCTCCCACCAGGGTCCAACAACTGTCCGGCTCGGCTCCATAGATCCATCAGTGGTTTCAGATTCCCTTCATTAGATGATATTCGTTCAGTGAGTGCAGTTAGTGACAATGTGGGCTCCATGGTAACGTAGCTCTGACAGCTCGACGGACTAGCAGCCGGGGGGCGGGGCTTAACCTAGGGTTAATGGTTTTTGGTACGAACCTGCATTTTGAATACATTTTGACTTGAGCTGCCTCTCGTCCCCCTTCAGTCTCTGAGCCTGACCTGCACTGTGTGGGGCCAGCCGACCCCTGAGGTCTCCTGGTTCAAGAACGAGCAGGAAGTCGCCTCCAACGAGCACACCAGGGTCACGTTCGAGGGCGGCAAGTTCTCCAGCCTCGTGATCAACAAGGTCACCCCCGACGACTCCGGCAAGTACAGCATCAACGTAAGGAACAAGTACGGCGGCGAGTTCGTCGAGATCACCGTCAGCGTCTACAGGCTGGGCGAGAAGTTACCCGAGCCCAAACTGGGACAGCCCAAAACGGCTGCAGCCACGCCTGCAACCACGCCCGCACCGCCAAAGACCCCAGCCACGCCCTCCAAGACCCCGACCCCCACCCCTTCTAAGTCCCAGACCCCAGCGTTCATGAAGAGCCCGACTCCAGCCTCCACCCCGGTCCCCAAATCTCCAACCCCGACCCCGAAGTCTCCGCCCCCGAAGTCTCCGCCCCCGAAGTCTCCGACCCCGACTCCATCTCGTGGCGCCAAGTCGCCCACCCCACCCAGATTCATGAAGTCTCCGACCCCACCGAGGAAGTAGACGACGGCAGTGACGTCTAAAGGGGGGGAAACGGTTTGATTTAGAGCATGAGTGTGAAGCCAGGAGGCGTTAAGGTTTATGTAGATGTAGTCACTGTTAAAAGTCCCACTTTGTGAACTTCTGGTCGACCACTTGCAAAGTTTTTCTGTGTTCTAGTTGCAGGATATTTATAGAGATACCAAAAGAGAGACTTAACGTTCAGTAGATTTTGCCGCTGTGCTTTTGACACAGTCGGGGGGGGGAAGAGGTGCAAAAAAACGAAGAAAAAACCCCAAAAAGAAACAAAGGGTAGATGTTTAGATGTTTATGTTCAGTGTTTTAAAAGCTGCACCTTCCACTTTGCAACGTAAGTGGAACGCCTGTTAAAGAAAGTGTTTGTGGACGTTGAAGGATAATTCCTGTTAATTGCACAATTTCATTCTTATCAGTGACATCACTATGACGGAGTCAGACGGTCAGACAGGTCGTACGCAAACTGTAAAGTCATCACCCAAACTGTCCTTTCTGGTTCCACTTAACCCAAACCTACTCATCGTAGTTATCGGCACAAAGTTTCTTGTTTTATCACCGACATGTCGGGTGGGATGACTTTCAGTTTGACCCGATTCTGCTTCTCACCCCGTCTGTAGTGACGTCACAGTGTTCCCAGATGTGAGCCGTTTACGATGACCAAACCTCTGGATATAAGATCAAAGTTGTCATAAACAGGAAGTACCTTGTAGAGTGGGTGACCAGGGCGCTGGGGTCATGTTGTGTCAGGACCTGGGTGGGACATCAACACCAGATACCAGATTATTGTTTTTGTGATGTTTTCCTCATCAACTGCTTTTGTCTCCTGGTAGCTTTCATCAGTTGGAATAAAAACGAATTCACTTCCTGCCCTGGTCTCTGTGCCAGAGAGGTCAGTCTGTGACATGTTGTGTGTGCCCCCCCCCCCCCCCCCCATGCTTTGTGATAGCAATAAACTCTCAACCTCCTCCTGATGTCTTTGTGGTTCATCCAGTCTCTTTATTCATTTTAATTCAGCTGTTATATTGATGTTTTTTTCTTCTTTCCTTCAATAACAACTATTTTAACAGATATAAATACCGTATACGTTTTGGCCCCAAAAGAAGAAGAAGAATTAATAATACTAACTATTTATAGAGCACCTTTAGAAACAGAGTTTACAGAGTGCTGACAGAGAAAGCAAAGCAATAAAAACAACAAATCTCAACATGAGGCCCAACAGAGCGAGACAATCTGAGATGAGAGTTAAACCTGATAAAAGAATAGATTACAAATCAATCAATACAACAGGAACAAACTTAAGAAATAACACAATAATGATCAAATAAAGCAGTAAGGCCGTAAAAACACGACTTCACATAAAAGCCATCTGTAAAAACGGGTCCTAAGAGTTTCCTTCGGGCCCTCTGCAGTCTATTCAGTGCTGAGATTAAAGAGGTTCAAACCGATTCTGGACTAACCTTCTATTTCCATTGTGAAGTGTGAAGACGAGCTTTGCTAAAGCAACACGTTGCCTGGTAGCCTAATTCCTGCTAATTCTTGTTGCAGGCTGCATTGTTATGAAACGGGGAGTTGTTCCTATTTAGCTCTCAGTTTGTTTCACGGTACATTCTGACTGTCTAACTCGCTCTGTGTTTTGTCAGGCCGGTTGAACCGCTGTGCAGCGTTTCATTCTCCGTGTACAAAACTACACAATCGAACATGAGATGACAAAACGCTTACAAGGGTTTACAAATTACAAATGTCAGGAAGGTAACATGATTCCCACATGTGCACGTTTTGTGTTGTTGCTGTCTGTCAGCCTGACAGCTGAACGGATAAACAAAACCTGCTCCCGCTCACCGAAACCCAGGTGAGCAGAGATGGGCGGGGCTTGTTACAGTCTTGTGAGCAGTCTGTGGAGCCAGGTACGGCGAGTTATTTGTCACACCTTTAGTGCTGCTGGCTGGTTCGTGCTGCAGAGAGGACACACACACACACACACACACACACACACACACACACACACACACA